TCAGAGAAAGTCCTTAGCAGTGTCCTGCATACTCCAAAGGACCTCAGCCTCCTCAGCAGGTGAAGACGACTTTGGCCCTTCTTGTACAGGACGTTGGTGTTCGAGGACCAGTCCAGTTTATTGCTGAGGTGAACACCCAGGTATTTGTACTCCTCCAAGACCTCAATGTCCAAACCCTGGATGTTCACTGGAGTAGTCTGGGGTGCTTTCCTGCGGAAGTCAATCACTAACTCCTTTGTCTTGCTGGCATTGATGTGAAGACGGCTGACCTCACACTAGTTGACAAATTCCGTGATGACCCCCCCTGTACTCCAGATCATTCCCCTCTGACACACGCCCAACAATGGCTGTATCATCAGAGAACTTCTGGAGGTGGCAGCTGTCTGTGTTGTATCTGAAGTCCGATGTGTACAAGGTGAAGAGGAAGGGGGCAAGGGCTGTCCCCTGTAGAGCCCCTGTGCTGCAGACTACCAAATCAGACACGCAGTCACGAAGCCTCACATACTGTGGTCTGCTGGTGAGGTAGTCGATGGTCCAGGCAGCCAGGTGGCAGTCGACTCCAGCTCCTTCCAGCTTCCCCCTGAGCAAAGATGGCTGTATTGAATTGAAACAGCTGAAATCCGTTCAGAGTCTGGAGTGAGTTCGTTCAGCCAGGTGTCCATGAAGCACATCATGCTATACGTCTGTAACTCCCTCTGCAGTCTGGTCAGCGCCGTGAGCTCTTCCATCTTATTAGGGAGAGATCTCACGTTCCCCATAATAACGGACGGTACAGATGGTTTGTACCGCTTTTTCCGCTCCCAACACTTGACTCCAGCTCTGCATCCCCATCTCCTTCTCCTTAACTCACTGGGGATCTCCGGTCTCTCGTTGGGGAGTACACGAGTGTGGCACAGTGCCAACAGCTGATCGCGGATGTAAACAATCGAGCCGTGGCTGAATGGCTCTCCAGAAGTAACTTTAAACAGTCCATAAGTGAATAAAAAGCATAAAACAAATCTCAGCAGTTGCACATCCGTTGTTGAACGCGAACGAGTGAGATTGGCGAATAAAAAAATAACAAAAAACACAGAAAACACACTTGGGGGTGATCACACAGAAATGAGACGCTAGAGATGCGGACGCTTCAAAGACGCTTGAAATGCTGGAAGTGCTTATTCAATGTGCGCTAGCTACTGGCATCTGACGCTCAAAAAGTTGAAAATATTTTCATTTTTCAGCGTCTACGCGCATCTAAAAACGCATGTCTAAAAAGATGCCAGAAAAACGCCTATCTAAAAAGACGCTTGAACGCCGGTCAGACGCACCATATCATAGGAAAACAATGGTTTTACTGGCGTCCCGTTTCTAGCGTTTCATTTCGGTGTGATCGCTCCCTTCAAGGACAGAAAGGGGTCGGAGGTACTGTAACCAGCTGCCACTCGGGCGGCGCCATCTTGAAAAAAATAAATTAAAAAAATAAGGACAGTTTTGTTGCTCTAGAGGATGATGCAAATGATGCTCAGCCTGGCACATCTGAAACCCCCATTTGCGACAGGAGAAGCAGCAGAGGCCTCAAGCCAAAGCAGGTCATCAAAAAAGCCAAAGGCTGATTTGAAGCATCTGTTTCAAGGAGAAAAGAAGTGCAGTGCTGACGCACCACCTCAAGCAAGGCTCTCCACACAAGAGAAGTTACGTGATGAGTTCCTGGTATATAGCAAAATGCCGGAACTGAGTGCAGATGAAGATCCACGATGTCCATGACGTGCCCGACTCACCACAGACTATGTTGACATGTTAGTTTTCCTCTACAAGAACCTTGAACTGGTCAAGAAAAGTGGCAAAAAGCTGTGAATTGTATCATTTTGCCAATACCATTTGCATCATGTAAGCCGAATGGCTGCCCTGCTAAAACAGAACTATCGGGGTTGCACTCTTGTATTTGCAAAAGTAGTACTAGTTGGTGTTATTCTATGGTCCACTTTTTCCTCATTTGCACTGCACTGTTTGCAGACTTTGCACAATCTGTTCATGTTTCAAAAGCAACTACCTTACAGTGCCTCCTTCATGACTGACTGCATTAAGGCCTACTTTTTTTAGTTGTGTGTGTGTGTGTGTGTGTGTGTGTGTGTGTGTATGTGTTCCAATCATGTTCCATGCATCTTCCAATCATGCAATCTATGTTCCAGTTGATGTCTTTTTCTGTTCATGTTTTTTTTTAACTGCCTGCCATCTTCATTTAGGCCTACTGTTTTAGTTCTGTCCATGTCATGGATACATACTTGGCCAGTCCATCACCTTAACCTTCAGCTTCCTCAGCAAGGCAGTTGTCATCTACTAGGTGTGTTTTGGGTCATTTAATATCAAGTAATATCAATCTGTTGATAGAAATGTGATTTTTTAATGCAAATATTTTAATAAAGTGTTTCTTGTTTAAGTACATGGGATCTTAGGATTTTTTTTTTACCGTGGTATCGACTTTGGTATCGAGAATCGTGTAATTTTACTGGTATCGGCACCGACTACTGAATTTTTGGTATCGTGACATCCCTAGTCGTGTGTGTTAAAAGATAAAAGTACAGGCAACATCTGACTTTATCAATACTACGGTCTTTAACCCCAGGGCCCCAATACTAATCCCTAATGCAGTTAGGGCTTTGTTTTTGGAAACAGTACCCGAAATGGTCCCTTGTCCTGTGGACGAAGGGGTACAACTAGCAGCTGTGTCACGTTGATTAACAGGGTGAAAAAGCTGGCGATCAGAGTTGATACAGTGCCTAACATTAGCTCCTTTAGCATAACTAGCTAGTGCTGCCTCTCCTATGTTAAAAAAGTTGAATGTTTTACTACACACTGTCCACATTCTGCACATCGTGGTCCTGGCTCTTTTCAAGCTATAACCTATACTTGTGCCATGAACACCAGACGTTAATAAATCAGCATTTCCTGGCATTGGGTAAACTTACATCTCATCAAAGGCCAAGGTGCAACTCAAGTCAGAGTTTGACATTACCTCCACAGAAAGCAACATAACGTCAAGTGATATGACTGATCTTTTAAGATTTTTCTCAGATGATCTTAACTGAACCACATGTACTCTATTATAGTATTATACAGGCATGAAAATGGGTCAGGGGTGGTTTTTTTTGGTGGAAAAATGAGCTTCCAAATGCTCATATCTGATTTCTTTTAGATTTACTTAGTGGTGGTCACATGCAGAAGTACAAGATTGCATAAAAACAAAAGTATGAATGTATAGTATCTTTACATGTTCACATATGTTGTATATGTTGTATAAGAGATAATAGATAGATAGATAGATAGATAGATAGATGAAATCCAATAAATAGGTTAGTAAAATAAAATAATTAAAAATGTGACATTAAAGATCCATAAAGACGCATCGGCCAACACACCAACCCACACGTTTATACCTATAATCCTCTATATGTATATGTATGTATATATATCAACTGCATAAGAAAATCAGCAATTATTGTTTAATTCCAGACTATAAAATAAATGCAATAATGAATTGGCCACAAATGGCGATGTGCTTATTATTTAACTTAAAATAAGAGCATATGAATCTATCCTAATGCATCTAATTTTATGCACAATATACTTGTCTGCCCCTTTAGTCAACTTATTCCCACTTAATACTACTACTAAAATGATTTTCCTCTGGCTAAAATGTAATGCATAGTAGGCTATGCCTTCACATTGCACCTGTCATATTTCTGGTCTCATCCTCCTCATCACGACTGGGGTTAGTCTGTCCCTCAGCTTCATTGTCCTTGGGACTGGGAGCACCACCTAACGTTAACTGCATGCATCCACAGGAAAAAAGCAAGCACATATTTTCTTTTAGTACAGGTTTAAATTATAATGACCTTATGCAATACCTAGTAGGCTAGCTGGCCTCTTGAAATGGACACCTAGAAGAAATACGCAATTTGCCAAAGCCAACATTGCTCATTACACACTCACGAACGTTAGCTAACGTTAATACACCTGCTATAATGGCACTGTCGCCTCCAGCTCCATCGTTAGCAACACCAGCAGCCTTGGCCCGTCAACCAACGCCGTGGCCAGACAGGTCCGTTATTTTGGAGCACTTTGCTGCCTCTTCTTGTAAAGATTTAACTTTTTTTATTCAAGTTTTTTCCACGCCACGAAACAAGAGCCTCTTTCGTATTGGAGGAGGCCGCTCTTATCTCCTCCTTGAAGAGACTGAGACCTACATCCCCATCGTTTTTCTGTGACTTCGCTCCACAGACCCCCCCACCCCCCACATGAAACAGTATTTGGACATACCACATAACTGGAAAAGCAGTAGGACCATCAGCTGTATGCTGAAATAGCTTTCTTAACAAATCCCTTTTCTTAAGAATTTAGAAACCTTTTCTGTTTCATAGACACTACCCCAACCCAAAAATACACCAAGGTACTCTAAAAATCAATTTTTGTTGTTAATTAATTTGTTTTTGACTGTATATAAAGATGGACACATGACAGTTCCCAAAAGTGAAGCCAGAAAATCTGGATTGCCCCGTAGTGGCTGGTTGCAGTATGGATCATAAAGCCCGCCTCCTCCATGTTAGCGGATGGGACATGGGCTAAACAAAAACTCACTGTTCACATCAAATAAATTTTTCCCAAAGATGGTTTCTGTCATTTAAGGTAGTTTTTTATCATGCTACTGGATGTTCAAGTGTTCGTTTTTCTGATACGTTTGGTTTTAATTAGTTATTTAATGCTATTAAACAGGGATTTTACAACATGATTGACAACTGTGTGAGCCAATCCGTGGGCTCACATTCAGTAACGCTGCTCACTCAATTGATCCAGCGGGTGCATAGGTGGGAAACTTGATACCGTGCAGACTGGGGCTCCAAAATATGTCACCAGAGCAAGATGACAGCGGCCATATCCGGAATATCTTTGTTTCACGTCTGTACAGCAGGGGTAAATGGAGACATGATGTTCATCTTTATGTACAGTCTATGGGGAAGACTCACCCCAGCCAGGCACTTCTCCAGAGTGTCCAGGATGATGAGCTGGGAGAGGTAGAGGTTCTTCTCAGAAGCTTCTCCAAATATCCGCTGAAGACAGTCACAGTCAGAGAGAGACAGAGTGAGACAAAGACAGAGAGAGAGAGAGACCGAGAGAGAAACAAAAAGAGACAGAGTAAAATAGTGTTTACAGGTAAACATATATCAGACATATGAGATATGGATGTATGTATGTATGTATGTATACATATGTTCACTGTTCAAAAAAAATCAGAGGAAAACTTAAATCACACATCAATTCTGATGAACTAATTATTCAAGTTGAAAATCTTTACTGATGTACATTATATAATTTGTTGAAAAACAAATAACGTAACAATGGTCAGTGGCAAAAAAAAAATCATCAATCCATTAAGATGTGCATTAGGACTGCCGCGATTAGTCGGCTAATCGATGACTAATCGACTATAAAAATAATCAGTGACTATTTTAGTAGTCGACTAATCGGTTTGAGTCATTTTTCATAGAAAAGTACTTTAAAAGTACCCCAAAATACTCTTAATGCAGCTTCTTACGTTCAGATATTGGCAGCTTTACACACTCTCCCGAGACAGTGAACTAAAACCTTTTGGCGTGAATATGAAACAAGACATTAGATGACGTAATTTTGGGGTTTGGGCGAGACAGACCGACATTTTTCAACATTTTAACACATTTTTTGATGAAATGATTAGTCGACTAATCGAAGAAATAATCGACAGAGTAGTCGACAATGAAAATAATCGTTAGTGGCAGCCCTAGTGTGCATGCTCCTAATGAGTCGGTGGATGGTGTCCTGGAGGATCTCCTCCCAGACCTGGATCAGGGCATCAGCGAGCTCCTGGAAAGTCTGTGGCAGTACTTGGTGGCATCGAATACACTGATACAGAACGTCCCATAGGTGCTCAATTGGATTTAGGTCAGAGGAATGAGAAGGACAGTCAATGGCATCAATGCCTTCGTCATCCAGGAACTGCCTACACACTCTGGCCACATGAGGCCAGGCATTGTCCTGTACCAAGAGGAACCCAGGGCCCATTTCATCCTGGTACCTAACAGCAGTTAGGGTACCATTGGATATGACATGGAGGTCTGTGCATCCCTCCAAGGATAGGCCTCCCCAGACCATCACTCACCCACCGCCAAACCGGTCATGCTGGATGATGTTACAGGCAGCATAGCATTCACCACAGTGTCTCCAAACTCTTTCACACCTGTCATATGTGCTCAGTGTGAACCTGCTCTCATCTGTGAAGAGAACAGGGTACCAATGACGGATCTTCAAATTCTGGTGTTCTCTGGCAGATGCCAAATGAGCTGCATGGTGCTCAGCTGTGAGTACAGGTCCCACTAAAGGACGCTGGGCCCTCATGCCACCCTCATGGAGTCTGTTTCTGACAGTTTGGTCAGAAACATGCACACCAGTAGCCTGCTGGAAGTCATTCTGTAGGGCTCTGGCAGTTCACCTCCTGTTCCTCCTCACACAAAGGAGCAGATACCAGTCCTGCTGCTGGGTTATTGCCCTTCTATGGCCCTGTCCAGTTCTCTTCATGTAACGGGCAGTCTCCTGGTAGCTCCTCCATGCTCTTGAGACTGTGCTGGGAGAGACTGCAAACCTTCATGTGACCACACGTATGGATGTGTCATCCTGGAGGAGCTGGACTACCTGTGCAACCTGATTGGGCTGCAGGTACTGCCTTGTACTACCAGTAGTGACAAGGACACTAGCAGAACACAAAACTAGAAAAAACTAAGTCAGGAAGGATAAGGAGAGAGCAACTGTCTGTGGCCACCACATGCAAAACCATTCCCTTTTTGGGGGTTGTCTTGCTTTTGTCTCACTACTGCACCTGTTGTCACTTTCATTTGCACCAAAGCTGGTGAACCTGACTCACAATCACTTGTGCTTCCTAAATGGACAACTTGATATCCCTGAACTTTAACTGACTTGGGGTTATACTGGGACCATTAAGTGTTGCCTTAATTTTTTGAAAAGTGTATATTAGGAGTTTTACAACACATGTATTTGTATTGAACTGTACAGTACAAGGCTTTCTGTTTGGTATGCATAACAAACCAAACAATAAGTTGAACTATGCTATTATGTGGAAAATAAAATCTACAGCTTAAACTGTGTTTTATATAATGCTCTCAGTGCCACTGTGTTCAACAAGGCAGCCTACAGGACAGAACAGGCGACATGCTGTCTGCCACTCCCACCCAAAAAACCACAATATTGTACTCCAGTGAGACACACTGGGAGGCAGCTATTCTACAATAGCTCCTTGCATTATGGTTAGTAACACCATTACCAGAGCCAGAAATACAAGATCCTCTGATAACCTACAGGTCTCGTGTTTGGAGCCACTTCGGTTTTGCTGTGAACTATGAGAACAACAGTGAGTTAGAGTGGGGGATAAAAATACTACATGATAGTAGATTACATCTGTGGGAATACTTCAAACGCATCAATTCATTCATGCCGTTATGAGGATATGAGGCCCGACTCTGAAGTGGAAAATGCAGGCATCAAGAACATGGTTAATGAAATTGAACCCGATTGAAATATTCCTTCACGAGCCCATTTCAGCCAAACTGTAATTCCTGCTCTGTATAAAAAAACAAAAGCCCAAATTATAATGCTACCTTTGACACATTTTTTTTTTGGCATTTCAGAAACAGAAATTTCTTTTGATTGTATTTGTTGATAACTACAGCACCACATTTTATATTTTATAAGTAGCTCTTTTGTTTTATATGCTGCTAAGAAGACACCCCCATCCCAACTCAGAGCTCCATTAGCGTTCAAAGTAAAAAAAAAACATCACACCTTATGATGTAAGTTAAAACAAATATCGCGAAAATTTGAAAGGAATTGGCGATTGACCAAACTGGAAGAATCTCGTTTAATCTGGACAGACAGTCTCAAAACTTAAGAGGGGCCTCCGCAATGCCAGAGCAAACTATTACTCAGCATTAATAGAAGAAAACAAGAACAACCCCAGGTTTCTTTTCAGCACTGTAGCCAGGCTGACTGAGAGTCAAAGCTCTATTGAGCCTTGTATTCCTTTAGCCCTTAGCAGTAATGATTTTATGAGCTTTTTTAATGACAAAATTCTAACTATTAGAGGCAAAATTCATGACCTCCTGCCCTCAGATGGTAGGCCTACCTATCTAACCTCAAACACAGCTGTAGAATCTAATATATATTTAGATTGCTTCTCCCCAATTTCTCTTCAAGAATTGACCGCAGTGATTTCTTCATCTAAATCATCAACGTGTCTCTTAGACCCCATCCCAACTAGGCTACTTAAGGAGGTCTTTCCTTTAGTTAACACTCATATATTAGATATGATCAATATATCCCTATTAACAGGCTATGTACCACAGTCTTTTAAGGTAGCTGTAATTAAACCTCTCCTAAAAAAGCCCACCCTGGATCCAGAGGTGTTAGCCAACTATAGACCAATATCTAATCTTCCCTTTATGTCAAAGATCCTTGAGAAAGTAGTCGCAGACCAGCTGTGTGATTTTCTCCAGGATAATAATTTATTTGAGGAATTTCAGTCAGGATTTAGAGTGCATCATAGCACTGAGACAGCTCTAGTTAAAATTACAAATGACCTTCTGATTGCTTCAGACAAAGGACTCGTCTCTGTTCTTGTTTTATTAGATCTTAGTGCGGCGTTTGACACAATTGACCATCAAATTCTACTGCAGAGACTGGATCACTTAATTGGCCTAAAAGGTTCAGCACTAAGCTGGTTTAAATCTTATTTATCTGATCGTTTTCAATTTGTTGACGTTCGTAATGAATCATCCTTACGTACCAAAGTTTGTTTTGGAGTTCCGCAAGGTTCTGTGCTCGGACCAATCCTATTTACTCTATATATGCTTCCTTTAGGTAACATCATTAGAAATCACTCTATAAATTTCCATTGTTATGCGGATGATACACAGTTGTATTTATCGATGAAGCCAGAAGAAAGTAATCAATTAACTAAACTCCATAACTGCCTTAAAGACATAAAAAATTGGATGAGCACCAATTTCCTGATGTTAAATTCAGACAAAACTGAAGTTATTGTTCTTGGCCCCAAACAACTCAGAGACTCTTTATCTGATGACATAGTTTCTCTAGATGGCATTGCTCTGGCCTCTAGCACTACCGTAAGAAACCTCGGAGTAATATTTGATCAAGATTTGTCTTTTAATTCTCATTTAAAGCAAACCTCACGGACTGCATTTTTTCATCTGCGTAATATTGCGAAAATTAGGCCTATCCTGACCCGAAAAGATGCAGAAAAATTGGTCCACGCTTTTGTTACCTCAAGGCTGGATTACTGTAACTCTCTATTATCAGGTAGCTCTAGTAAGTCCTTAAAAACTCTCCAGCTAATTCAGAATGCAGCAGCACGTGTACTAACAGGAACTAAGAAACGAGATCATATTTCTCCTGTTTTAGCTTCTCTGCACTGGCTCCCTGTAAAATCCAGAATTGAATTTAAAATCCTACTGTTAACTTATAAAGCTCTAAATGGTCAAGCTCCGTCATATCTTAGAGAGCTCATAGTGCCATATTATCCCACCAGAACACTGCGCTCTGAGAACGCAGGGTTACTCGTGGTCCCTAAAGTCTCCAAAAGTAGATCAGGAGCCAGAGCCTTCAGCTATCAGGCTCCTCTCCTGTGGAATCATCTTCCTGTTACGGTCCGGGAGGCAGACACCGTCTCCACATTTAAGACTAGACTTAAGACTTTCCTCTTTGATAAAGCTTATAGTTAGGGCTGGCTCAGGCTTGCCCTGTACCAGCCCCTAGTTAGGCTGACTTAGGCCTAGTCTGCCGGAGGACCCCCTATAATACACCGGGCTCCCTCTCTCTCCCTCTCTCTCTCTCTCTCTCTCTCTCTCTCTCTCTCTCTCTCGTATTCTATTACTGCATCTTGCTAACTCGGCCATTCTGGATGTCACTAACTCGGCTTCTTCTCCGGAGCCTTTGTGCTCCACTGTCTCTCAGATTAACTCATATCACAGCGGTGCCTGGACAGCGT